CTGTGCCCCCCCCCCTCCCGGCCCCTACTCCCCATGCATACATTCTCTAAGCCAAGGGAGGGAGTGTGAGCACAAGTTCCGACCTAGGCCTGCTCCAAGAGAAGCCCCCTAAGGGAGCTGGGCAGCGCCTGGGCGGGCGCATGCTGACCGCCCCGCGCAGCCCCCTCTCATGCCCAGGGCCCCCAAGAGATCCATTCCCTTATTTGCTGGGGAGGGGTAGCGTGGTCTGCAGCCACGGCTGACCTGCCCCATGACGTGGTCATCAGGGTCACGTGAACTCTGGGATTCCCCTGGCGCTCTGGTCCCTGGGCAGGTGCCACCGAACCGACTACTCCCCAGGGAAGGGCCGGTTCCCGCTCAGCTGGCTGACTGCCCTCTTGTTTTCCAGCTTTTGCCATCATGATCGTGCTGGCCCTGGTCCGCATCGGGAACGGGCACAGAGAGGGGCACCCGCCCCTGGCTGACTTCTCCGGGATCCGGAACCTGTTTGGGGTGTGCGTCTACTCCTTCATGTGCCAGCACTCGCTGCCATCACTTGTCACACCGGTGTCCTCCAAGCGCCACCTCACACGCCTGGTCTTCCTGGACTACGTGCTGATCCTCGCCTTCTACGGCCTTCTCTGCTTCACCGCCATCTTCTGCTTCCGCGGCGACAGCCTCATGGACATGTACACCCTCAACTTCGCGCGCTGCGATGTCGTGAGCCTGGCTGCCGTGCGCTTCTTCCTGGGCCTTTTCCCTGTCTTCACCATCAGCACCAACTTCCCCATCATCGCCGTGACCCTCCGCAACAACTGGAAAACACTTTTCCACCGTGACGGGGGCACGTACCCCTGGGTGGTGGACCGCGTGGTGTTCCCCACCATCACCCTGCTGCCCCCGGTGCTCGTGGCCTTCTGCACCCACGACCTGGAGTCCCTGGTGGGCATCACGGGGGCCTACGCAGGCACGGGCATCCAGTACGTCATCCCCGCCTTCCTGGTGTACCACAGCCGCAAGGACACCCAGCTGGCCCTGGGCTACAGGACCATCAACAAGCACAGGTCCCCCTTCCGCCACGCCTTCTGGGTGGGCTTTGTGCTGCTCTGGGCTTTCTCCTGCTTCTTCTTCGTCACTGCCAACATCGTCCTCAGTGAGACCAAGGTCTGATGGCAAAATGTGTCCGGTGACGAGAGTGGCGGGGGCTCCACTCTGGCCCCATCACTCACCTTCCCGCCTGCAGAGCCAAGAGCTAGTTCCTTCCCAGGGTTGCATGGGGCAGGCGAGGCCAGACTTGCAGAGGGCACCCTCCACGTCTCCTGCTAAGGGTCTTCTCTCCACCCAGGATCCCACGCAGTCCGCGCCTCGCTTCACTCGTCAGGGCAGCCTGTCTCCCAGGCCCCCCTGCCTGGGGCTGCCGCTGGCCAGCCTAGCCGCACAACCTGGGCACACAGCCGTCCCAGTTCCAAGACCGGTTACTGCTTTACTTGCCGGGGGCGGGCTCCTCCCACCGCACAGTAGGGACGCAGTGCTGGCCCTCCCGTTATTTATACCAGAGGCCACGTCCCGTCCTCCTCCGTCCTGCCCCTCCTGCATCCTCGTCTGGGAAGACTCCACTCGTAGCTGCTGCCTTTTTGGGGCAAATCCCAGGCCCTAACTCTCCTCCCCACCAGGACTGCCAGTGACAGGCAGGTCCCACCTTCCCCTCAGGCCTGGAGTGGCCAGGTGCCACTCCACTCCCCAGAGAAAGCCTGGCCAGCCCCGATGACAACAGGAAGTGCTGATAGGCACCCGGGTCCCTTGACTGTGGCTCTGAGGGCCCTTGCTGTGGGTGCCAGCACCTGGCTGAGCTCCTGAACCAGGGGTGACTCAGGAGCATCAGGCAGGAGCAGTCCTTCCTCAGGGCACAGCCGCCTGGCAGCCAGTTTAAAGCCCAGAGCCTGTGACCCCTCAAAGGGATTCTCTGCTCTCCTGACTGCCCCACTGGGGCCCTCAGGGTCTCCTGCAGTGCAGGGGGGCGGTGCATAAGGACCACTAAAGGGAGCTACCCCCACCCACCATCACGGTGGCTCGGGGGCACCCTGGGCATGTAGCGGTGAGCAGGCTGTGCCTCCCACCCTGTCAGAGGTGAGGTCTGCGAAGCAAGAGTAGGCTTGGCTGTCCCTGCTCCCACTCCAGCACTAAATGTGGCTCACGTGGCTCCCTTTTGAGCCAGGCTCTGGGTGCTCTGTTCATACTCTCTGTGACCTTTGGGTGCTGTGGAGTGAGATGGGGCATCAGCCACCATTCTCACGGAAGGAGGGGTGGCTTCCTGGCCACCTCACCAGCTCTTCCGTGGTCCCCTCCCTGTCACAGGCATGCATGCACCTGCTGGGCCAGCCCTTCTCGGAAACACAGGTGACTAGCAAACTCTGCATTTTCAATGTGCCTTCCGCTTCAGGACCTGGGGGTTCTTCCTGACCCTCCCTGGCGTGCCCCCAACCCTGGGCCTGGCCCCACCTGTCCTGGAGCCCAAAGCAGCTTGACCTGGAGCTGCCTCTCTGGGGTGGGGTCTCAAGCCCCCACCCCATCCCCCTTTTGATTTTAGTGCCTTGCTCAGCTCTCGTTAGGGGATCTCCGCAGCCTTCCCTGCATGGCGCAGTGTTTGTACCTTGGACGGAGCGACACCACCGGGCGTCCTGGGGCCCTTGGTGGTCTCCGAAGGGGAGGGAGGAGGACCTGGGGAGTCCACAGGCAGTGCTCTCCCCGCCCCAGCCCCTGGCTGCCCCAGCCTTGAGAACCCCTGGTCGTGATTGGCCATGGTCTGCTTTCTCACTGCTGCCACACATCTCGCAGCTGGTCCCCAAACGTTGTGATTTTCCATCCATGTGGAAAATAGACGACTCTTCCCCATGTACCATTGTGGCTTCTTCCCAGGAGGCCCCACCCCCGGTGGGCAGAGCAGGGAGGGCCCCTGGGTGATGGACACCCATGGCTTGGGCTGATCTGCAGCTGCCCAGCTGTTTGCTGAAAACTCAAAACATCGGTCCTTACCCTTCTCCATTTACACTCCCTCTTGCTTAAGGACAAAGCAAATTAAATCATCCTGCTGCCCCAGGCTCCAAACCAAATTTTGGACGCAAATTTATTAGCATCATAAAGCCCAGGTTGATTAATGTGGCAATCTGGAGCCACACAGCAGTGCAGTCTGGTGGCTGCGTTCCCCTACTCCAAGCTGGGCAGCCCCAGGCCCGGAGGGACGGAATCAGCCCTAGCTGGCCACATCCCTGACGGTAACCCAGGGCGCTCACCACTGCCACTGTCTGGGATCCTTTACAGCTCCGTGTTCACCTGCTGGAGGTCAGATGGGGTCGTCTTCCTCTCTACTGCTGATAGCCAGGGGGCTTAGGGCAAGGGGGAGAAGGCCCAACAGCCAGACAGAACCCCGATGATGCTTGTTCACCATGTGCGTCAGGCACACTTGGCTGCAAGTGCTTACGTCAGTGTGGTGAGGGGGGCGAGCTGGCTCCTGATTTCCATTTTACAGATGGGCCCCCGAGGTCACTGGTGGGGAGGGCAGAAAAGGATGCCGGCCCAGCCTGACCTGGGTACAGATGTCTCCGTGGAGGAGGACATAAACCCGCCAGCCTCCACCTAACGCCTTTCACCCGGACTGACCCCGAGGCCAGGCCAAGGTGGGAGACCGTGTTCCCTCATGCCATTTTGCCAGGGGCTCCTGCCTGTTCCCTCACCTGAGGCCAGCGAGGCGGCTGCGGGCTTATAGATGGGGCAGATGGCAGGTGACAGGCTGGGAGGCACTGCTGAGTGGTGGAAGGTGGGCATCGGGCACCTTGCCAGGCCCTTAGCTACACAGCTGTTCTCACCACACGGGGCCGGGAGCAGCCTCGGCAATAGAGACTAGAGTCAGAGTGGTGGGGGGGGATGGGGGCCGCTCCCCACCTCATGAGAAACCAGTCCCGGGGGAGGGGCCTGGCACAGGGCCATGTGACTGAGGGCAGGTGTAAGGCCGAGACCACGCCTGTCTCGGGGTCGGATTCCTGGGCAGGGCTGACACCCAGGTGGCTCTGCTAAGGGCCACTGAAAAGCTGGGTCTCCTGAAACAGATCCAGGACTGCGGGAGAGGTTCTCAGTCCCTCCTCCCCAGGGCTGGGGCTCACGGTGGTGTCAGTTGGAGAAAAGGAGAAGTAATAGCTTCTCAGTGCCTGGCATGTGCCAGGCACAGTGCTGGGTGCTCTCTGCGTGGGCCTTGGCATAATCTGGGGATTAAGACCATGGACCAAGAAGGCAGAACTGCCCCATGCAGGCAGCGAGCCTCCTACTCTTCCTCGTCATTTGTAGCACGGGGACAATAGTACCTGCGCCACTGACCGGTTGTGGGAACTTAAGTAGTGAGCTCAGTGCCTGGCGCAGAAGTGCTCAATAAAGCTACTCTGTACTGGTGTCTGGCTCCCTTGTCACTGCCAGCCATAATCACACTCGTAGCCACAGGCCCCAGACTCACTGAAGACCCCGGTTTGGGCCCACAGGCACCTGGTTGGTTTCATAGCCGCCTGATGAATTGTAGCAACTGCCTGCTACAATTCAGAAACAAGAAACTGGTCTGAATGCTTCAGGGTCCGGAGGGCTTTGGGAGAGAAAGTGGTCTCTGGCTCCGGGGAGCCTAAGGACACTTTCAAAGAGCCAAACCCAGGCCCTGCTGGAGACTTCTGGAGCTGGGACTAAAGCCCAGGTATCCTGACCAAGGCCATCATACCCACCTCCTGCTAAGCTCTTTGCTCCCTGCCCGCTCACGGGCCCCAGGAGAGAGGTGGTGTGGACGACGAGCCTCTCAGTAAAGCCCGGCGAGGAGACAGCCGTGCAGCAGCAGAGAGATAGGAGTTCCTCCTACTGAGACAGGTGACCGAGGGCCCCCTCTTGTTTCCCACCAAACAAAGAAGCCAGCATCTGGGTGCCTGGCGTCTGGGTGGACTCAGCTCGCTCTCTGCTACACAGTCAGGCCTTGTTTATGATGACTAATCATCTATGGCCTTGCGACACAGCTCCCTCCTGCCCCCGCCAGGCTTTCTGCCCTCTTCTCGATAGTGCAGGGCCCTTGGTCCTCTGTGGAGGCACAGGGGGCATCATGGCTCTGAGCCAGAGGCTGGGGAGCCAGGCCAAGCAAGGTCTGAACCCACAGTAGGCATCTTCCCTGCCTCCACTTCTTGTGGGGCCCACTTCTCCCCAGAAGACATTCCTAGAGAAAGAATGAGGCAGCCTAGAGCCTGGCTCCAGGAGCAGGATGGGCCCCTCCTTGGAGCCAGTCAGCAACAGGCTCAGCTCCATATTTGGCTTTTAATTATCTTTCCAGTTCTTGGTTATTAATGATCTTGGGCAGTGAGCGGAGAGCAGCCTGGATCTCAAGACTCCTCCCGGCTTACCTGCTGCAGCCCTTCACCCAGAGCTGCACTCAGATTCAGGGAGCAGGAGGGGTCAGGTCCAGGGGGAGCTGGTAGGTCCAGGGGCTTAACTCTCTCACCACCGGTGGCTGCATTCAAGGTCAAACTCCCCTCCAAGGCCTCGAGCACTCACCTAGACCCACATTTACCACCTGTGTCTGAGGTCCACCCTCCCCACTGCAATTCTGGACCTGGATCCATGAAGTCCATAGGGCAGAGGACATGAACTTGACTAATGGACTAGGGCCTCCCATTCTTGGCATAGTCCAGCTCTCCAGACACAAATGGAGGGTTTTTAGAAATTTCCCCCCACTCTAGCATCTCAGCTGCTCTCATGCCTAAAACCAAACAAAAAACTTCCAGTTTTCATGACTCCACCCCCAGTAGTGGAGTGTTTGGAGACTGGAAAGGAGACCCAGCTTCCTGGGATCCAGCAAGGATGTATGGGAAAGGACACGGGGCAGCGGCTGCACGTGCTGCTGGCATTCAGCATTGCCCTCCCCGACCTCCTCCCTGTTACATGGAGGTAATTTCTGCCCTGCCTCACCCAACTTGTCAAGGACAGCAAGGCCTCAGGCTTTACATGTTCACAGTTGGAAAAGGTCTGACGGCACCAATCACACTTACCGTGTTTGTGGAACGAATGGAAGAATGAGTGCTTACTGTACAGAGTCATTGTGGGGCTACATGTTCACCACTGATGTGAAAGCATTGGAAATTGTAAAAAAGAGCCATCTTTCTAGATGGTCCAGGGCTGATGACATGTGACAGAGAAAGGAGGTGGGGCTGGGAGCCCAGAGGGAGGGTGAAGGACTGACACATCCAGAAGATTCTCTGACCATCTCTCCCCCCCCCCCCCCCCCCACCAGGGGTCCCGGCACCAGCAAGGCTGAGCTGTGTCTGACCTCGGAAGCCACCTGTGCCGAGCTTCCAGAGCCAACAGGCAGTTCGGAGCCCTGCGCATCCCCCACGGAGAGAATACAGCCAGCCAGGGCCCAGGAGAGCCCAACAGGCTGCCCACAGCAGACCTCCCTCTGCCATTCCCACTATGACACCATCAGGCTTCCAGTTGGGCCCCTAGCAAAGCAGGACACCCACAGCCCCTGGCATGAGCCTCTTTTCAAGGAGATTAAAGGATGAACTCCATCCGTCACCACCAGAGCCCCCATGCTGAGCACATTTGTCACACCCAGCACCAGGGTGGGTAGGAGCCACTGAATACCAAGTGGCTTCTGCTGCCCAGATACTCCCCCACAGGGAGCTGCCCACCTTCTCTAGGTGGACACCCCGCTGGGATACCCCCAAGGTGCTTTATTGCCTATAGGCTATGGTGCCCCCCTCCCTCCCAGGGATGCAGAATGAGGCAGCCAGGACCAGTGGGTTGTAAAAGATTTGTTTAATGCCCCAGCGCTCTGAGAAGAAACTCCAGTCAGGGAGGGCAGGGGGTGGGGGTGGGGGGACAGCCCCC